GGCGACGTGGCCGACGTGGACGCCGCGGCGGCGGTGCTGCTGCGGCCCGGGCAGCGACGGGTGGCGCTGCACTACATGGCGATACGCTCGCCCATCCCGCTGGTGCAGAACCGAGACTTTGAGATGGTCGTGGCCGAGGAGGTGCGCAATGACGGCACCGCGTGGGTGAAGGCCTTCTCCACGCCGCTTGGATACATTGAGCCGCTCGACCCGCAGCAGCCAAAGTACGTGCGCGCGCTGATGCTCTTCTCCGGTATTCTGGCGCAGCCCATCACCGGCGAAGAGGGACATGCGAGGTGCCGCTTGAGTTACGTCGCGCTCGTGCACCCAATGGGGCTCCTCCCCTCGTTTGTGGTCAACATGGTGCTAAGCGCCCAAATGAACGCGCTGCGAAAACTCCAGCGCTTTATTCTGGAGCATCCCCTCGCCACACTGGCAGCGCCGACAGCGGAGGGCAGCGGCAGCCCACCCCGCGGTGCCGTCGTGGCAGCGAGCGAGAGCACAGGAAGAAATACCGGAACAGAGAAAGATGTCTCGCAACGTGTCCGTGCAACTGAGGACAGCGTCGACAAAACCGGTGGTAACAACAATAACGGCATCAACAACATGCAGTCAACGAGGAACCGGAAGGTCTCTGGTGTGCGAAGTCGACTCTCTTTACTGAAGGGACGCGTGGTGAACAGGATTCTGTCCAATTTGTAGCTGGTGAGATGTTCTGGTGGAGTGGTGGATTTCGCTCAAGATTACCGGTGTAGCCGCTCACATGATCGCACGCTTACCCTTACAATCCGCCCGTCTCCTCTCACTCTTTATTTCTCACTCTCTCTCTCTCTCTCTGTGTGTGTGGCGTGCAACTCACTTTATTCTGTTCTCTTTTCCCCGCCTTCTGTCAAACAAGGGAGGGAGATAAGGCGGACAGGTGTGGGTGATCGGTATCACAACACAAGCAAACATACAAACAAACACAGACGGAGAGAAAGAGAGGGAGAGGCAGGCATATATACAGATATTCGCGCGACGATGTTAACTTCCTTCTCATGGGTTCCAAAGGGCGCCATGAAGCCTGTCCCAATTCACTCTGCTGACAGCATCGACACTGTGCGGGCAAAGCTGCGGCGACAAAACCCCGAACTTGCGGCGGAAGACGAGGAACGAGAGGCAGCAGCAACGACCGCTTTACAGCCACTGGGCGACGTCAGCAGTGACGATGACGGTGACAACACGGACAACCTGCAGTTCGGTGGGGGTGCTGACACCATCCTCGAGCAGGTGGAGTCTGAGGATGAGGATGAGATGAACGACACGAACTTCAAGGAGACAGACCTCATCTTCACCGTCGCCGCCGCAGAGGCGCCGCGTCCCCGCCTAGAGCTGTACGTGTACGACGAGCCAGAGGACAGCATGTACGTCCACCACGACATGGAGATCACGGCGTTTCCGCTCACCACCGCGTGGCTCACAGACGGGGCGATGTCGCTTTGCGCCGTTGGAACCATGCGGCCGTTTGTGGAGGTGTGGAACCTCGATGTGCTTGACGCGGTGGAGCCAGCGTGCCTGCTCGGCGGTTGCGTCAAGTGGGAGGACAACTACCGAAAGAGTATCAAGGCGCGTATGCTGAAGCCCGACTCGCACACGGACGCGGTGATTTGTGTCCGCTGGAACACCTGCGCGCAGCACATCCTGGCGTCCGGCAGCGCGGACTGCAGCATCAAGCTGTGGGACCTCAACAGCTCCACCTGCATCGGCACATATGCCGAGCCGGAAAAGCTGCAGAGCCTCGACTGGCACCGCGAGGAGGCGAACCTGCTGCTCTCTGGCGGCTTCGACGCCACGATGATACTGCGCGACTGCCGCACTCCCAACCAGCCCGCACTGCGCTTCGCCACCGGCAGCGTTGTCGAGCACGTCGAGTTCGCCCCCCACAGCGGCGGTCGGGCTCTCTACGCGTCGACGAACGCCGGCGCGTGGATGGGGTTCGAGGCCCGCATGAACGCGCAGCCGCTGTGGCAGCTGCAGGNCGGGCTCTCTACGCGTCGACGAACGCCGGCGCGTGGATGGGGTTCGAGGCCCGCATGAACGCGCAGCCGCTGTGGCAGCTGCAGGTGCATGAGGCCGACACCACCTTCGCCGCCTCCCCACACGTCCCCGGCCTTCTTGCCACTGGCGGGAAGGACGGCAACATTAGTCTCTGGGACGCGCGCGACGTGTCACGGCCGCCAACGCAGATCGTTTCGCGCTCATACCGCACGGGGGCGGTGCTCTCGCTCGCGTTCCACCCCAACTCGCCACACATATTGGGGGCATGCGGCAGCCGCGGTGAGCCGCTCGTTTACACGACTACGAGCGACATTCGCGATACATTTCGCCCGTAGTGCCAGTCGTCGGACTACAACATCTAAATGAAAACGATACTACGATTAAGAAGGTGTGACAGTGTTTGGTATGTGTGGAAAGAAGGATGCGTGCGTGACGCAGCTTTGTCTTCCATTGACTTTCCCACTACTACTAACACGAACACGAACACTGACGTCAGCTGTGGACCGTAGCTCGTCTTATATTGTCATTTTATCCCCTCCCTCCCTGTGCGATTTCGCTTTCCTTCCTTCCTTCCTTCTGCCTCACGCCTGCCGCCACGCGTAAGCACTCTAGCCAGTCCCTGCGAGGAATCCCCGAGCACACCAACACTCACACACCGACAGAAAAATGAAGATCTTCAAGGACGTCCTGACGAACGCTGAGGTCGTGTGCGACAACGACAAGCCAATGGAGCTTGAGGGCGACATCGCGTACGTT